GTTATGTGATTAGGTTTATTGTCATGACAGGAGTCCAGAACGAAGGCTGGAAAGTGAAGTGGACTTGGGGGGAGGGACTGTATGACAATGAAGGAATTTTTCTTTTACTTTTCAAAGAGAAGAGTGTACTGGAGAGGAGGGGAGGGATGGTCAGGGAGAAAAGTGCAACAATGAATGAATGGAAATCTAAAAGCTCTGTAAATTTTCATTAAAATTAATAATAACAATAATTTAAAAAAAGATGCTATGAGTAGGGGTCCGCGTGGGGCTACCGCCCAGCTCCGGGCTATGGCGAGGGATCTCAGTCCGAGGAGGTCCCGGAGTCGCTATAGTGGGAGCTGGAAGCAGAGCACATGGAGGTGGAAGACACGACTCCCAACCGTTGCGCGTCTAGCTTCTGAGTCCAGGTGGTGTCCTCCAAGTCTGAAGGGGCGTCGCTGCTCCAGGGACACTGGCTGGTGATGGCATGCTTAGTAGAAAAGCTCCTGCCCATCCACACCTTTGAATAGAAGACTCTGACCCTGGAGCAGTGGAACCGTGAGCTGCAGAAAGGAGGGACTCAGAGCTGGACAGCCATTAAACCATAAATTAAGACAGGAAAAAAAAATGCTATGATTATCGAGGTGGAGTGGGGCACGGGAGATGTCGTGATGAGTTCTGTCTGTGGGAACAAGCTAAAGGAAGGTGCCAAGGACTTTATGAGAAAGGGTGCTACTTGACCTGAATCTTGACCTTCTGCAGCTTCCAAAGGCAAGCTGAATAAAGCAAAATGCCCACAAGTAGGCTGAGAAACGCCTCCTCAAGTCATGGATTGTAGTTCTAGTTCTAACCGAATTACCATCAGGCCTATTTGTGGCAATGAATTAGGCCTTGTCGTGGTTTTCTGGTCTCCTCATTCCGACCCTGTCCCCCTGTGAATGATTCCACTCCGTATGCGGCTTCAGTCTTCATTCTTTTTATTTATTTTATGATTTGTGTGTGTGTGTACCGTCATATTGGATCTGACTGGCACAGGAAGAGATTGTCCCTCCTGCTCCAGCAGAGTATCTGGTGGATTTGAACCACGCACCTCTGGAATACACGCATACAAGGAAGTCCAGTGAATACCACTATCATTCAAATATATGCACCAACAACCAGAGCCAAGGAAGAGGAGATAGAAGATTTTTACCAACGTT